AGATATGAACTATGTTGCTAACTATGGGGGTCAGAGACAGGGAAATCAGAACTGGGGTCAGCAAACTCAGCAGCAGTACAGACCACCTCAGCCATAATATAACGCCGGAAACATGGGAGGTATGAGACCCCCCAACAACATGGCACCGTATCCTAGACCACAGGGGTACAACAATCAGCAGCAGGGGTACCACCCTCCTCAGCAGCAGCATGGTGGAAGACAGGACGATGGGTTTGCTAGACTGGAAGCAATGATGCAGCAGGTTATTGGGTCCACTGCGAAGATAAACGAGAGAGTAGATGCACATGACGCATCTATCAAAAATATTGAAGTGCAAGTGGTCCAAATTTCAATGTCTCTGAACAATCGTCCTCAAGGGACGCTACCTGTAGATACCCAAATCAATCCTAAAGATCAGGGCCCGAAACAGCTGATGGCGGTGAGTCTCCGTAACGGCAGGGATCTCGACGAAGAGCAAGAGAGAGCTCGTGACAATATACAGGCTGAGAATTTTACTATTGCGAAAGTACAATTGGAAACTTTGCTTTTGCGAAAGCACTCTGTGATTTAGGGGCCAGCATTAATCTTATGCCTCTGGTCATTTACAAGAGGTTGGGCATTGGGAGAGCTAGACCCACCTCTATGTTGCTGCAACTGGCTGACAGGACTGTGAAGCGTCCATTTGGGATCCTGGATGATGTACTTATTCAGGTGGGGAAATTCGTGTTCCCTGCAGATTTTGTAATATTGGATTGCAAGGTTGATGAAGAAATTCCTATCATCTTAGGAAGACCTTTCTTGGCCACAGGGAGAGCTCTTATTGATTGTGAGACCGAGGAGCTTAAGATGAGGCTCAATGACGAAGAGATCATATTCAATGTGCAGAAATATATGAGGCGCCCAAGTGAGTTCGCAAATTGCTCTCTTATTGATGCCGTGGATGTAATCGTACAGTCTGATGATGAAGTGTTGACGATTGAGGATCCCCTCGCTGCATGTTTGACCGGTTTGGAGGAAGTGAACGGTGAGGACTTGGCAGAATGGGTGTTGGCATTGGAAGGTAGAGGGTTCTGGGATAGAGAACTAGAGTTCGAGCCCCTACACTTAGGAAAGAGAGAAACTCCTCCAGCTAAGCCATCCATTGAAGAACCACCAAAGCAGGAACTAAAGCCACTGCCAACCCACCTCAGGTATGAATTTCTGGGACACGACTCCACTCTACCTGTTATTATCTCATCTGGTTTGTTAGATGTGCAGGTCCAACAGCTTCTACAGGTATTGAAGGAGTGCAAAACTGCCATTGGGTGGACCATGGCAGACATCAAGGGGATCAGCCCCGCTTACTGCATGCATAAGATTCTGCTGGAAGAGGGGCACAAACCTTCCAGGGAACATCAGAGGAGGCTGAACCCAAATATGAAGGAAGTGGTAAAGAAGGAGGTGATAAAGTGGTTAGATGCGGGAATCATTTTCCCAATCTCTGACAGTAGCTGGGTTAGCCCAGTTCAATGTGTGCCTAAGAAGGGTGGCATGACGGTTGTGAAGAATGACAACAATGAACTAATCTCAACAAGAACTATCACAGGCTGGAGAATTTGCATGGATTATCGAAAGTTGAATCTAGCCACTCGGAAAGACCACTTCCCACTTCCCTTCATCGATCAGATGCTGGATAGATTGGCAGGGAGGTCACACTTTTGTTTTCTGGATGGGTACTCAGGGTACAATCAGATTTTCATTGCACCTGAGGACCGAGAGAAGACCTCCTCCACATGCCCTTATGGCATTTATGCCTTTAGGAGGATGCCCTTTGGCCTATGCAATGCACCCGCCACATTCCAACGGTGCATGATGGCCATATTCACTGACATGGTTGAGGATATAATGGAGGTGTTCATGGATGACTTCTTAGTGGTGGGGAGTTCATTTGATGAGTGCCTGGTGAATTTGACGTGTGTGCTGAAACGGTGCATCGAGACTAATCTGGTGCTGAACTGGGAGAAGTGCCAATTCATGGTACAAGAAGACATAGTCTTGGGGCACCGGGTGTCAAGCAAGGGAATATAAGTAGATCGAGCAGAGGTTGATGTAATAGCAAAGCTGCCTCTACCAACTTCGGTCAAAGCAATCAGAAGTTTTCTTGGACATGTCGGTTTCTACCGGCGGTTCATAAAAGACTTCTCCAAAATCACCAAACCTCTCTGTAAGTTATTAGAGAAAGATCACCCGTTTGTATTTTCTGATGATTGCAGGGTAGCGTTTGAGGAATTGAAGTAGAGGCTGGTCACAGCACCCATCATTGTTGCCCCCAACTGGGAGCAACCATTCGAACTAATGTGTGACACTAGTGACTACGCAGTGGGGGCAGTGTTGGGCTAGCGGAAGGACAAATTGATGCACCCTATCTACTATGCTAGCAGAACGCTGAGTGGAGCCCAGTTGAACTATACGGTGACTGAAAAGGAGATGCTAGCTGTGGTGTTTGCATTCGATAAGTTCTGATCCTACCTGATAGGATCAAAAGTAATCGTCTACACTGACCATGCCGCTCTCAGATACTTAATAGAAAAGAAAGACTCTAAGCCACGCCTGATTCGTTGGGTGTTGTTGCTGCAAGAGTTCGATCTTGAAATACGTGACCACAAGGGCACTGTGAATCAAGTCGCTGATCACCTATCACGACTTGAGGGAGCTAAAAATGCGATTGAAGTTGAGGAAATTCTGGAAACTTTTCCGAACGAGCAACTGCTCGCCACCACTCATCAGGAAGCGCCATGGTATGTAGACTTGGCCAATTACATGGCCAGTGGTATAGTTCCTCACGACCTTTCATCGGTCCAGATGAAACGATTTTTTCATGAAAGCCGCTTGTACTATTGGGATGAGCCCTATCTCTTTCGAATATGCCTGGATAACATGATCCGGAGATGTGTCTCCGAGATAGAATAATCTTCTATTTTGCAGGCTTGTCATGCATCGGCTTATGGTGGACAATTTGGAGGGATCAGGACAACAACAAAGGTGGTAGAGGCCGGATTTTTCTGGCCGACTGTGTTTAAAGATACCTACTCATGGGTGAAGGGTTGTAATGAATGTCAACGCACCGAGAACATTTACCGGCTCCACGAGATGCCCATGAACCCAATTCAGGAGATAGAAGTGTTCGACGTCTGGGGGATTGATATCATGGGTCCCTTCGTTGGCTCTTATGGTAATAAAAACATCCTTGTTGCCGTAGACTATGTGTCCAAGTGGGTAGAAGCTGTAGAATTGCCCACCAATGATGCAAAAGTGGTGGTGGGGTTTCTAAAGAAGAACATATTCACCCGCTTTGGGACACCACGAGCGATTATCAGCGACGGAGGCACTCACTTCTGCAATAGAGCCTTCGAGAAGTTGCTTATAAAATACGATGTGCGCCACAAGGTGGCTACTCCATACCACCCACAAACTAGTGGATAGGTTGAGGTATCCAACAGGGAAATCAAGAGTGTGTTAACAAAAACTATGAACGCCACAAGAACTGATTGGGCAAGGAAGCTAGATGATACACTCTGGGCCTATAGAACAGCTTTCAAGACACCAATTGGTATGTCACCATACAAGTTAGTGTTTGGGAGGCCTGTCACTTACCTGTAGAACTCGAGCATAAAGCATGGTGGGCAATCAAACAACTAAACTTAGACATGAAAGCTGCGGGCACGTCAAGAGTCACAGAATTGCATGAGCTCGAGGAGTTTCGGTATCTTGCTTTTGAGAGCACAAGGTTATATAAAGAGAGAATGAAGAGGCTACACGATCAGAATATTGTTGAGCGAAATTTCAAACCTGGGGACATGGTACTGCTATACAACTCAAGACTGAGGTTTTTCCCGGGTAAGCTGAAGTCACGATGGTCTGGACCATTTCGAGTAGTTGAAGTTTTCCAGTCAGGAGCAGTTGACGTCGCCACTGAGAATGACTCTCGTACATTTAGAATCAGTGGTCAGAGATTGAAGTTGTATGTGGGTATGAGCGAGCCCAAGGAAGGGTCTCAACTACAGTTGACTGAACCGGGGAGGTCGAGCGAGCTTTAACTGCACTTATTTGGGTCCTGCCACGATGTTATATCAGGCGCTGCATGGGAGGCAACCCATGAAATTGTTGTAAGTGTAACTCTCCCTAAAATTTAAAAAAAAAAGACGCGGTCAAACCGCGGTACTGACCCTTCTCTGAACCCAGGCCATCGCGGTACAACCGCGGTCAAGGAGACCCTCTGAACTTGGTCTACCGCGGTCCTACCGCGACCTTGGCAGACGCAGACGGGGTCCAAGTAAGTTTTTCGTTTTAAATTTTTTCTCTTTTCACCTTTTACCCAAAATACCCCCCACCTACCACTAAACCCCCCCAATTCGCCCAGATTCAGCAAAACACCCCTCCCCCACTCCCTTCTCTCTAATTTCTCTCCCACTTCTCTCTATCTTCTCTCTTCTCTTCTCATCTTCACATCACTCCATTATCATCCTCCCCTACTATCCACCTTCTTCATCCACTTTCCCTCAACCAAACAAGTAAGTTGCTCTTTCTCTCTCTCT